GCAGGGAGACCCCAAATGAGGACCAAGCCCGAAGCACCTCGAAGTCCCGCATGCCTTTCCTTGTCCTCTCAGGTCCAGGGCGAGCTGGCAGATCTCCTGGAGGATGTTTCCTGATGCCGTACAGGGTTTAGGGTTTATAGGGTTTAGGGCTGAAGCTTAAAACTATAGGATCAAGAGTTTTAGGATTCAGGGTTCAGGGTTTGGCGAGGGTGTTTTCGAACGACGGGGCCAGGTTGTACAGTGGAGGAGGGCTGATAGGGTTGAGGGTTAAAGAGGCATGGGGACGACTACAGTTGCTACGATGACTGCTGCTGCGGCTGCTCCTACTACTACTACTACTACTACTACTACGACTACTACTACTACCTACTACTACTACTACTACTACTACTACTGCTGCTGCTGCTGCTGCTACTACTACTACTACTACTACTATGCCTACGACAGGACAACGAGGAGTATCTAATCTCCGACAGCGTGCGGCGCTGAGTCTCAAGAAACGGACCCAGTTTTCGTTGCAAATGCTAGGCTTTCCGGGCAGTCTCGGTTTAGGGCTTAGGACCCTAAGCCCTAAACCCTAATCCCTGAACGAAGCCCTAAACTGTGCAAGAGCCAAAGCTTAGGCTTCGAATGCCGAACTCATGTACTTCTTTGCGTGTTGAACTTCTTTGAATCGCTGAACTGGAACCTTCAAAGTGGTGAGAGTGAGAAACACCCAAACCAAACTCTTAGGTAAGCTCCTACAAGCGAGTCTCTTGATGCCCAAGTGCTCCAAAAGCCTGCTGCTTCTGACCGCGACTCGCCTAGTCGCTAGCCCTCCCGTCTTCCTTCCATGTTAGTGGGTCACTGCTCAGTACCCTAAACCCAGAAAGCCTGAACCCTCTCTGAGGGCAGCCTCTGCTGCTCCTGCTAACCTCGCTAATTTCTCAAAATCACGCTGAATTCACACAGAGCTCACTCACATGTAGAAGCCCTTTACGCCTAACAACAAGGTTTTTTCACACCCAGATAGGGCACTGTAAAAGCCAGCAGGTTCAGAATGATGTCATGGGAGGCGGCTGGTCCGGCTTTCGCCTTCGAAGGCTGCAACATACGCCCATGCAGCGAAAAATAGGGTTTAGTGGGTTTGGTATTCTCCGCAAACGTAAGCTCCTGGGTTATGAAATTATGGCTCACTCCGCTACACGTTTTTTCGCGCAACAAGATGGCAGTTTGTGTCGAGGTGCACTTAGTCGTTTGTGGGCTAGCATGGGTTTCCGGCTCGTTTCAGGGCACTTCCGAAGTTGAAATTCGGGTGGCCTGTGGTGGTAAGTGCCTCGAAGGGTTTGCGCAGGGGAAAAAGGGTGGATGGAGGCTACCCTCGGACGGAAATCCCCGCACAAAGCTACCATGTTCACACGTCCTGCATGAAGAAAACGTAAGGCGTTTGCACGTGCATGTGTGTGCTTGTAGCCATGTCTGGTTGGTGAATACTGTGTGGTTACCGCCAGTTTGTTTCAGGCCCTGTGCGACCTTGGCAATGCCAATGACTTCGCATGAACTAACGGTACCCCAGGTTTTCCCTGTCTGTTTTCGTTCAAACACTGGTTGCCGCAGCGTGTTTGTGCATACACCTCGTAAAGCCCACTGCGAGGCTGGGTGCCTGGCTGTCCAGAAACTGCGAACTCTTCCCGAAGACCGTGCCGGCCACAGAAGCGGGGGGTTGACCTGGCAGCACGAGTTATAAGCACTCGTCGAAACACGTCGTAGTAGTAGCGATCTCAGCAGCAAGTGGTAGGCCGAGTACCGATGTTTGGTACGTGAACATATCGGCGGTGTGGCGATGTGTGCCTGAAGAACGCCACACCTGGCTCCTGGAATTTGATGTAGAGGCCAGAGAAATATGTCCATTCCTGAGGGCTTTGGGGTTTCTTTCTGCTATGGTTATGCATATTAGCTTGGTAAATCAGTCTGACAGGCGGCAGGCGTGTTGTTTGGAGGCCCAGCAGGAAGATTGCATTCCATGAAGCCGCACAGTTTGTCATGCGCTGGAGGAAGAGGAAGAGGAGAAGGAACGACAAAGGGGAGCAGGAGGAGAATGAGCATGAGATAGCATGAGAAAGGGGTGAGGAGAGTGACCAAGTCGATGTTCCGCCACCTGAGAGGTGCGAATGAGACCTAGTGCTTACTCATGGTAGGTCTTTTCTAGTCTGACAGGGGCGTTACAGGACTTGATGCACTCGAGCTTAAGATTTCGTGGTTTGGATTGAAAGAGCTTGCCGAAGAAGCCCTATATAAGCGCCAATACCCTCACTCTAGGCATTCTGGACCCTGGCCCCCAGACGTTTGCAGTCGGAAAAGGTGCTCAAAAGCAAATCCAGAGTCCTGCACGCACCCCCGAACCCTAAACCCTGCCAACTTGTGACTTTTGCACAGGCGGTGCGTTCCGTGTTTCAGCATTGTAAGTGTGATTGGAACATCCAGCACATTCTTGCCCTGAGATTTGTAGGATGTTCCCGGTACAGTTCCAGCTATATTGTTCCGACAGAAGTTGCCTCATGCGACGAGCATTGTACAGAAAATTCATCGGGATATGTGTGGTAGGGAGTACAGATTATGTTTGAAGACTTGCCATGTGGCTCCCAGGACTCCCCTGGCTAGCCAGCTCGAGTATCCAGACCCACAGCACGCAATTCCACAGACAGAATCGCTGCTTGACGCCAATGTGTAATGATCCTGTAGTCTAGGCTCCAAGTGGTTGCTTCGAGACTGTCCGAGAGACCGCATGCATCAACGCTAAACTCTAAACCCCCCAAGACCCGAAAATCCAAAAGACCTGACAGCGTCTGCCCAGGTCCAGCTCCTCAAACAGCGCGCCCACCCAACTTTTTCTTGCGATCGTTGGATCTAAGATTGGGGCCTCAATATTTAGCATAAGGTTTTGGTGCCGATCGTACTATAATTGTGAATAAGGAACCCCCAAAATAGTGCTGGTAATTGTTTCGGCCCCTACATTACGGTGTAGGCGGTGTATGGTTTGGGGTGCCGGGTGTGGGTGGGTTCAAGTTCACATGTTTCAGCTGCTGGGTGGAGGCTAGGGCTTTTGAGGTTTTCTGCTTTAGCAACCAATCGCGTCGAACCATGCCGCATAGTTTCCCAGTCAATCGGTTAATATGTTTAAAGAGTCGTGAACCCTGAACCTAAACGTGAAATTAAGATGTTCCTCAAAGTGTTCGCAAGGCTGCCCTTCATTGCGCTTCTTCACACCTTGAAAGTCTCAGGGCACGATTGATCTTGCTCAGTCTTGAAACACCTTCATCGCTACAATGTGCCTGTTGCAATGCTCCTGCCACTCTTTAATGCTGCGTTCATGCAGCCCTAAACCTTGCACCATACACCCTAAGCCCTTTGAGCCCCAAAGCCCAAATTCCGAATTCCAAGCCCGGAGCCACCCTAAAACCCGACTCTTCCAGCCCAAAACGCCAAGCCTCTAAACCCTAAACCCCTAAAGGCCAAAGTCCTGAAGTCCAAACCATCCTTCGCCGGGCAAGGTCCGATGTTCCCCTGGCCATGCGAGGTGTCATCATCGCGCGGCAGGAAAAGCCCGGGTTGTAGCGTTTCAAGTTTGAGCGTTTCAGGGGGATTTACGGTTTAGGGTTTCGTGTTTAGGGTTTCGGGTTCAGGTTTCTGCGTTTCAGGGGGATTTGGGGTTCAGAGGTTTTAGGGGCTCAGGGATTTCGGCTCAGAGCCCGAAAGCTCTGTGCCCGGCGGAATCTAAGAGGTCACAGGGCGGGAGTCCCGTGGCGTCGGCGGAGGTTCACGGATCCTATGGGTCCCCGGAGGTGGATTGCCTAGGATTGCCGAAAATGGGTCTGAGTCTCTGCAGTGTGCACTGGTCTCTGCAGTGTGCACTGGTGTGCCACGATACATTTTACAACGCAGCAGAAACATCGGCATAAGATACAATAGATCGAGCTACAAATCAACACAATGCAGCGTGATAGAATTCGGGCGAGCGCGATGCGAAGCAGCAACAAGCCGTGCCAGTTCAGCGAGCAACATGGTTGATACTGCGTGAAAGCTCGTCACTGCTTTTGCGCACCAAGCTATACTGTCCTCGACGGACATCGATGCCACAATCAAACCGGCCGAATGCTCGATGCCTGAAGCCCCAGAGTCCCGACGTGAACTGTCTAGGCACCGGAAACCGGTGTCCAACCGCACAGTGACGGCCATGAGCTGAGCACGAGGTCTGGATTTTTCAGATTCGGGCGCGAAGATCGCGCTTCTGAGGGCTTGCTGAGGGTTTGCGATGCATTTCTTCGGTGTCTAAGCCTAAAGACACTATTCGGACAAAGCGTGAGGCGCCTCGACTGGAGAACAAATGAAGAGCTACTATACTCTAAGGGTTACATACTGGTTACTATTCCAAGATGCAGCAATATTTTGAAAGTTTCGGACAGTAAGGGGCCCTCAGAATTCTAGGAACTTTGCCTGCAGGACCGTTCAACAAGCTGCCCCCGAAGTTTATGAAGCCACTGCCGGGGTTGGGGCTTGTTGAGGATTGGGCCTTCTCCAGAATCCTGGCGTTTGCCCCTGCTTTGCAGATCGCTGCAACGAAGACTTTCCGGACACAGTAAATAGTTCCCGCCCGCAAATTCCCAGATCACCGCCTCTCTTTGACCTGCGCCCGAGCCCCCTAAACCCAAAGCTTAAACTCCCGAAACCCAAAGGCCAAAGGCCTGCATCCTAAAGGAGAAACCGCAAACAGTTGAATTTGAGCAGGTCCATGGTGATTGTCACGAATTCGCTGCTTACCTTCTGATTGTGGCTAGGAGGGCTCGCTTTTATGTTGCTGCTACATCCCGCACCACCCGGTCGTACGTATTTCGGAGGTCGGAGAACTCAGCAATAAGGGGCCCCTACTCCCCCTCAGCATTATAAAAGCCCTACAGTACACACCCCTTATTGATAAGAACTGTGGAAACCTGTAAATCCCCATGTCACGCTGGCTCTTTGAGGTCGAAACTTCTTCCTGACGGCCCACTTTGGGCTCAGCGCCGGTGGTCCCAGCATCCGTATGCCTTTCTTTAGGATTCCTAGGCGTTTTTTAAATTTCGCGGCTTGTTAAGCACGGTTTCATTAAGAGACATTCTCCGAAGAATTAGTTCTACAGAGGCTCCACAAAAGTTAAAGCAGGGTCCTATGCTTTTAGGGCTTACGCCGTAAGGTAGAGGTCTGAAGGAGGGTAGCCATAGCCATTATATGCCCCAACATCCAAAACCCTGCTCAGAAGCATCAAGGTTCCTACAGAAGGGTTCAGGGCTTAGGGAGCAATCTGGAGGTTGGAGGCATGAGGGTGGGGAGTGTACATATCCTCGTCTCGACTAGACCTTATACAGTGCCGCGCACGTGTCTTACAGGTGCCCTGAGTTGATTTCCCAAACTCAAAACCACCAGCTGACGTTGTCTATTGGGCTTCTGTGGGTCTGAGGACTTCTGAATCTTTCAGGCTTTCGGCGTACAAGGCCTGAAAACCCAGCCCCCAAGCCGTACGTGCAACCGGTGAACCTTGAGGTTCCGCCGGACTGCAGCATCACCGTGGGTGGCCGCTGACCGAGTCAGCAGCGGAAAGCTGTGTGTTTTTGTTTTGGGAGGGTGAGGGCGTGAGTCCGGCCTCCCGAGTTCAGGGGATTAGGCTTTGTCAGTTTCGGGATTCGGCGCTCGAGGTTCGGGTGTATGAGTTTAGGGGGTCTTAGGGTTTAGGATCAATGTGTGCTAGGGTTCGCCCTCTCCCCAAGGCCTGAAAGATGCTCGAGCCACCGACCTCCAACTGAAGATCCAGAACTAAAGCCCTGAACGCTATCCAGAGCCCTGAGTCCTCAACCAGAATGAGCCCTAAAACACAGAATCGACGAGCACGAAAGGTGACGAGCGGCCCTGGAAGGAAGATGACTGCATCGTCCTCGCTGCTAAGCCTGCACGTCGGAGGGCGGGCCCCGAAAGCGGTCGGAGTAGGAAAGGTAATTCCTTGCAGGGTACATTATACCCCCACAGGGGTATATTTTCCTATAATCATAATAAGGAGCCTCCAAAACTAGTATTGGTAATTCCTGCAATCATTGAAAATTCGTGGTAGCTGGGATTACTGTTATGCTGCTTCCTATTTCTGGCCCATGAAGGGGTTGACGAGCCCCGCGACCCAAACGAGACCTGAGCCCTGTACCTCGAAGCTCAACTCTGGACTCAACCCTGACACCTCAGTCCAGACAAATCCAACAGCCCTGGTCCTATCTGATTCCCTAAACCAATATCCCGAAACCCCTGAAGCCGAAACCGAACATGGAACCCCAACAGCCGGAGCACCAAGCCTGTCTGGTGAACCTGGGAGCTTGCCTGAGGACACCTCCTTCCTGCACTCCACCAAGAACGAGTCGGACGAGGAGTCTAAACTCTCAAAGACAGCAGGGAGGTTTCACATGGGCTGGGGGCATTAGGGCCATTAGGGCCATTAGGGTTTAGGGTTCAGGCCTTGGGAAGTTCGTGGGTCAAGTTTAAAACTTAGGGTTCCTTCGGCGCTCCCCTGGTGCTGAACTTCGAGCAAGAAATAAAAGCGTCTACCTCAAGCCCATGGTACATCCAACGGTTCGAACCAACCTAAATCCCAAACCCAAGACCCCAAACCGCTAAACAGAAACCCGAAACCCGTGGAGCATGAGAGGTTGGTGGTCTTGACTGAGATAGGACCGCTTTGTGCTGGTCGTGGACTTCTGGCATCCTGACCTCACCGTCCCTGAGCGGGAGGCGAGGTTCTGTAATGTTTTGCTGCGCAACCACACGGTGCCAGGCAGTAGTGTATGTATGTATGTATGTATGTATGTATGTATGTATGTATGTATGTATGTATGTATGTATGTACGTAAGAGATACAAGAAACAGAGATAGAAGAAGATGGATCAAGCTGGTCGATGCGGTATACCGTCTTCACCCTAGAAGGACCTGCAGGTGACGCCTGAACAACGCAAGCATTGGTTTCCTGTTACATGCCCGTCGGAGTGCAACTCTACTAGCCTTCATCGGAAAGGCGCTGGAATGGATCTATGACTTCCGGAACAAGTCGGGACCCCGGTTCGGGTTTCGGAGTTTCAGTCTCGATCTGATGTGAGTATGCGCTCGGTCTTCTGAGTTCCCACCTGCTTTGTTGAGCTTAATTCGTTGCCACGGGGTCGAACACATCGTCTCTTGTTCAGGAGTTCCCGTTGTTTGGGGGTTTGAACGTGGGAGTATTCAGATGACAACTCCGAAGGTTTCATTTCTTTGGGTGACGAAGATATACCAGCGCGCTGCCCTAGCTATCATTTCACTTAAGCTTGTTGTTGCAACCATGAAATCTGTGCCTGCGTGCATAAACTTATTACTAGTAGAAGTCGTATGATGTATGGTCAGTGCTGTCCTTGCTCTATGTTCGGAGATACCGTTGCTACTGCTGCTCTGCCTCAACAATAAACGACCCCAAATCCAGCTGTGTCGGCAGCTTAAGACGCTGTGCGGTTTACAATCTTCCTTGCCGGAATCCGGAGGATCTTGCGCTGAAGTCGAACGGCGGTGTCGAGCAACCCCGAAAACCTTAGATGTTGCAAGTTTGCCGACGTAAACCCCAAACCCTGCCGCCTGAACCCTGAGCCATAAACCTAGAACCCCCCAAAAGGGTGCTTGGTCCCAAGTCCCGAACCTGAGTTCCTCTGAGTTTAAAGGTTTGAGGGTTTCAGACCCAAGCCCCAGAGGTTCGAGCAAGGAAAGATCAAGTATGCCGCGGACTCGGTTGGGTGTCGGCCTAAACCCTAAACGGCCCTAAACCCTAAACCCCCAAAAGAGTCTAGGGCTTAGGGCGTATCGCTTGAAGCTGCGAGAATGGACTTATGAGCCTGAGGTTGCTTGAAATATATACACCTTGCATTGCCGGCTGCGTTTCAAAGCCGAAGAAGACCTCTGCATCCAACAGCCACGCTTCTGGTTTTGCGGCTTACGGTGCCCAGAAGATGCAGTAGGGGTATCAGATTGTCGGGGTTCCTTGGGGTTCGCCTCGGTCGCAGAGCCGGCGTGGTTCCTGGAGTAGTTGGAAGAGAGCCTGGGATGGCAGCCGTCGTAATTGCCAACGACTGCACTAAGTATGTCTATAGGAGGCTATCTACGGGCATCTTCGCCACATTGATTCTTAAAATCCTTTTGACGTTCTTTGCAGCTGGCTGTTTAGTACGACTCCCGCCGCTGCTGTATCGTCAATTAGGTGCTGACACCTATTCCAATCCTTACTCGCGCGAAGGCCTGAACGCCGGCCCCGAAACCTCTTGCTGAGAATGAAGACGTGTTGCAAAATGGCTCAAATCTCAGTCCTCACTTCTCAAACTTGCCCCAAACGCCTGCTAGTACATCCGGATTGTTCTGCAAGGTAAGCCATTGCGGTGTGTTGCGGGGAAATCCAGTCGACACATTTGTTTCGCCGATGGTATCTTCGTTCATGCTCTGAAGGTGCCGAAGTTGCCAGATGGCTTTTGGGAGACGCCTCGGTCTCAGCAGAATGGTATCCCTGGCTGCTTCGAGTGGCCAAGACAATCAGCATTGTGGGTTTTAACATGATGCGATATGGCAACGCTACAGCCAATAATGCAGAAGTGTAGTGGTGACATGCGTTTGTTCAGCTGTAGATCAAAGCAGAAGAATTTGATGTTGCTGTGCTGCTTTCATACTCCCCCTTTCCACGTGTTTCGCAAGTGGGATTGGCCATGGCCCTTCACCACCCCGGAACGAAGAGTCAAATCCATGCCACCATGGGTGGCCACTGCGAATTGCTAGTGCCCCTAAGCCCCAAGCCCAAGCGGCACATAGCCAAAGCGAGCAGGGCTTCCGTGAAGCGTGAGAAATTGAATTAAAGACAACTGAAAAGGTTTTGTGGCTTCAGGGTTTCAGGCTTTGGTTTGGCATATCGGTGTAAGGAGCGCGTTTTAGGGTGCGGGGCTCGGGACTCTCGAGTTTATCGATAAACTCTCTGCAGCCCCGGGGTTCAAAAGCAATTGGATGGAGTCATGACAGCAAACCATTGGGAAATGTCATTGTCAGTGCCAGCAGTAAGCAGCAAGACATAGTTTAGAAAAGACATGATGGCCGGAATGTGAAGACATGGTCATCATCACCATCCTTCCATCCACCCCCCCACCCGGCTAGCTAGCTGCCTACCTACCTCCCTGCCTCCCTACCACCTGCCTTCCTGCCTACCTGCCTGCCTACCTGCCTGCCTGGCTGCTTGCCTGCCTACCTACCTATCTACCTATACCATCTAGCCATCTATCCATCTAGCTATCTATCCACCTACCCCATCCATCCAGATGTTTACCTATCAGTCTGTCCATCTAGCAATCTGGTCGATCAATCGATCAACCTGTCTATCGATACAGCGGTATGGATGTCCAGTCATGTGTATGAAACTTATGATGATGATGGTGATGGTTGTTCTTAGTGTTCATATCACTGCTTAAACTCCTTGGGCATCACGAAACGACAGCGGTATTTCGAAACGAGCACTGGCTGCTGCATGGCACCAGCAGTGATCAGATATCGACTGCAAGCAATACTAGCTTACCAGGAATCAGTATGATCCAGATCGGTTGATAAGACTGCCCCCAACGACAGTCTTGATTGCCATCAAAGTACTGACAAGTAATGGTAGCAGCAACAAGCGAACAACGGCAGGAATCAGTTTGTGCGTTGCAGCACATGCAAATGCCGAAGACCTTACCCCAGGCTTTATGTCTACAGCGCTTGGGGAGGCGGGATGGGACCTGGGAGGGCAGTGTTCACTGTTCCGGGGTCCAGGGTTTAGCGCTGCAGCCCCAAGCACAGACACCACAGCGTTTCAATTATAGTTGACTTTCTCCATGCAGCACTGCCTAGTTCAGGCTTGAAGGCCTCTGATGCTTTAAGCCTAGAAGAGAAGCATGGTCTTGAACCTTAAGCGTTAGGCTTAGATTTCAGTTTGTGGCTTAGAGTTTGAGTTTAGGGTTGTCTGCACTCTAAACCTCAGGTGCTTACACAGAGGAGAACGTCCAGAAGCAGCCCATTGGCCCTGTCTGCGGCCTGAAACGAGTGTTCCTGTTCGAGCTAGGGCCTTAGGGTGTGTAGGCTTAAGCTTGAGGGTCTACAGTTCGGAGTTGACCTATTTGGTAGAGGCATTGCTGCTCCTCTTCTTCTCGCACGGGTTGTTGCTCTTTTCAGGATGCTGTACACGTTTTACGTCATTACGTAGTTGCTCGTCAGGTTGCTCGTGTCTTTTTTTGGCAGGCTCGTTGATACTGTGATGCCTTTTTTGTATTATCGTAGTGCTGGTGTTTGACATAGTACTGATGCCGACACTAATTACGCCTCTTCCTGCTACCATCCTACAGCGCTATCAAGATGAGGTGAATGATTTTCCTAACATCATTTGTCTAACCAAAATTGTGCTCACATGGCAGTACTAGTGGCACCAAAAGTAGCAAGAACGTTTATCTCTGATGCCAGCACGGCCCATATTCATGACAAGATTCTAGGAGCCATGGCAAAGAAATATGTCAAGCTTCCCAGCTGGAATGAGACAGAAAAAGCCCCAAGGCCTGGTGACTGAGCTCTCTGGTTCAGGTGGTTTGAGTATTACTATACTAATTGTTTATTATTACTAGTATTAGTATTTTTATTATTCTTATTTGTATTGTCGTTTCAGGGTATAATTAATCTGTACTAACCGCAATGCCTGTAATCACCGTAGAATACAAATGTTAGTAGTAGTAACTATTCGTACGCTTTCAACAGTAGTAGTAGCAGTAGTAGT